ATACTGCGGACAGAAACAATTCCCGGAACTGATTCTTAAAGTCTAAACGTCTTTCAATTATCCCTCCTGATTATTATGATGCATGCAATATTTAAATCAGTTTCTCTCCATTATTTATGTGATGAAACAGGAGTCTGTGAACATTTTATTGTATTTCGATAAAGCAACAATAACATCAAATATGTAAGCGATATACTATTTTTGAAATGCACAAAGAAAATACATAGTATCTTCTTTTATTTATTACTCTTTAATTTTAATTCCAGTCTACACTGTAATATTAGTTAACCTACAGTGTACTAGTAGTTTCCGGTGTACAATATAGTGATTTACCACTTCCATGCATCACGCAGCACTCACCACAGCAAGTGCACTCCTTAATTCCCATCACCTATTTCCTGCATCCCATCACCACCTACCTCCCCCTTCATAACCATCAGTTTGTTCTCTACAGTTAAGAATCAGTTCCTGGTTTCTCTTTTTTCTTTGCTTGCATGTTTTGTTTCTTAAATTCTACATATGAGTGAGATCGTATGGAATTTGTCTTTCTCTGACTGGCTTAGCTTGATTGGCATTATACTCTTTAGCTCTATCCATGTTGCTGCAAATGGAAAGATTTCGTTCTTTTTCATGGCTGAATAATTTTCCAATATTCCATATGTGTGTGTGTGTGTGTGTGTGCGTGTGTGTATCTCACATCTTCTTTATCCATTCATCTATCAATGGATACTTGGGCTGCTTCCATAAGCCGACTACTGTAGATAATGCAGTAAGCACATGAGTGCATGTGTCCCTTTGAATTAGTGTTTTTGTATTTTGGGGTATAAATCCCCGGTAATGCTATTTTTAATTTTTTTTTTTGCAGTTTTATACCATTATTTGACAATCAATAATTAGTCCGTGATTTTTGAAAGCAGTGACAGGTACACAGGTACCCAACCCAAAGGCCTGTTCAGTAGATCTTCACCCTTGTTACGTTTTTTGCACAACTGCACACAGATACGGCATGGAACGTTCCTTATTCCTCTGTCTCAGACAGGTTTGTTGAGCCTGGTATCAATGCCCATATCTGGACTTCCCATCTCCATTGGGGCAAGTTTCCCGATGTCTCTGAGTGCCCAGGGGGCATGCTTCTTGAAATCCACCCCACGGATGCACTTGGAAAAGTGGATGGTTTATTCTCTGGTCACTACCTTGTTGACAGCAGAAAGGCACTGCCTCTCACCGCCCTTCTTTGCAGGAGCCATTCTGCCGAGACTTGGTTGGAAAAGCTCCATTTTTAACTTTTTGAGGAACCTCCGTACAGGTTTCCAGTGTGGCTGCACCAGTTTGCATTCCCACCAACTGTACACCTCCTCCCTGACTCTTGCTGTTCTGTGTTGTGGTTTTGGTTTTAGCCATTCTGACAGGTGTGAGGGGCTATCTCATCGTGGTTTTGATTTGCATTTCCCTAACAATGAGTGATGTTAAGCATCTTTTAAGGTGTCTATTGGCCAGCTGTGTTTCTTCTTTGGAGAAATTTCTCTATTTCTTCTGCCCGTTTTTAAATTGAATTATTTTTGGGACACCTGGGTGGCTCAGTCAGTTAAGCGTCCGACTTTGGCTTAGGTCATGGTCTCATGGTTCATGGGTTGGAGCTCCGCATTGGGCTCTGTGCTGATAGCCAGCTCAGAGCCTGGAGCCTGTTTCAGATTCAGATTCTGTGTCTCCCTTCTCTCTGACCCTCCTCTGCTCACACTCTCTCTCTCTCTCTCTCTCAGAAATAAAACATTAAAAAATTTTTAAAAATAAAAGATTTTTAAAATTTTTAAAAATTTAAAAAAATTTAAAAAATAAATTGGATTATTTTTTGGATGTTGAGTTGTATTAACTTCTTTATATGTTTTGGGTACTAACCTTTCATCAGAGATTCATTTGCAAATATCTTCTCCCATTCGGTAGATTGTCTTTTAGTTTTATTGATTGCTTCCTTTGCTGCGCAGAAGCTAATATATGACATCTGTTTTTATAAATTATTTACGCTGAATGACCCTCAGCAAAGAGGAAAGAGGGTTTTGATGGATACAGAGAAACCTGGTGGTGCAGCCAGGCTTGGTGTAAGAACTACACAGAGGGTAACTGCGACCTTGTGATGGCACTTTGGGTTTAATGAGAGCATATTTCTTGGGGCGCTTGGGTGGCTCAGTCGGTTAAGCCTCCGACCAGCTCAGGTCATGATCTTACCGTTCCCGAGTTCAAGCCCTGCGTCGGGCTCTGTGCTGACAGCTAGCTCAGAGCCTGGGGCCTGTTGCGGATTCTGTGCCTCCCTGTCTCTGCCCCGTCCCAACTTGTGCTGTCTCTTTCTTTCTCTCTCAAAAATAAATAAACATTAAGAAAAAATTTTAATAAGAACATATTTCTAAAAGGATTTAATTAGTAGGATATTAACAGACACCGTGCAGTGTTAATGATTCTCTAATACGAGTGAGAATTACTAACACTGAAATGAATGCTCTAACATCAGTAAGGAAGTGGGGTCCCACAGATGTGTGGAGAGACTGGAAGATGGACGTTCTGAGCATCTCCAGACAGCTGTGAGTGAGAGAATTAAAGATGAAGTGATGATTTAGGATGAATTAAACTAATATTTACTGAGTTTTTATGATGTGAGCTAGAGATAAGTTCACAAACTTTTTTTTAACCACTTTTTTAAAAAATGTCTTATTTTTGAGAGAGACAGCACGTGAGCAGGGGAGGGGCAGAGAGAGACGGAGACACAGAATCTGAAGCAGGCTCCAGGCTCTGAGCTGTCAGCACAGAGCCTGATGTGGGGCTTGAACCCACTAATGGTGAGATCACGACCTGAGCCAAAGTCGAACACTTAACCTCTGAGACACCCAGGTGCCCAATTTAAAAAAAAAATTTTTTTAACACAAACTCTTAATTAAGTAGAAGGGGAGCAGAGGGACCATAAAATAACTTGCTGGTCTGGAAGCTACCTGACCTGCCTGGGCAGTGTCAGGGAGTCCGCAAAGAAACAACTCTGAGTTTGAAGTACATTGATTTAAAACAGAAAGGAACACAGTAATTTAGGTCTCTGTTGTGAATGTCACATTGCAATCGATTGATACATAGCTTTGCTTTTGTTTAAGGAATTGTCAATATTCTGTCCTTACTTGTGTTATTTCAAATAAAATCTTTAAATGCACATCGTCTGTGCGAGTCCAGTTCACCCAAATCAGGCTCTCAATCATCTGACTGATGCTAAACCCAAGCTCATGGCAGCTGAGGCTTTATGCAAATGTTCATATTCTCAGCCTGGTTTGTAAAAGGCTTCAAATAACAGCAGGATACTGAGGGTGCTAGAGACTAGACATGGTATTTCCGATGTAATCATTTGGGAGGTAAGCAGAAAGATGGACTGAAGCAATTTCCCCTTATTCTAAATCTTAAAGAGAAGCACATTAGACAGGCTTGAGTGAAAACCAGAGCTCTAGTTTTCTAGTCTTAACAACGAATTCGGATCTTCGGATCTGGTCATTTCTATTTGACCCCTGACCAAATAATCCTTTGTCAGCAGAGTTACAACTACGCTGTGTCAAGTGATTAGCACTTAAATCTAAAGCTTAGCCCTGCTTGGTGATAACTGTAATCATTTAATTCGACAACATGCCTTGGTTTTCAACATTGGCAACTTCTTTCATATGCCTATGAGTTACACTTAAACCTTTAGTTTCTAAAAACCATGTCTTTCAATTTTGCTCATATCCCCCAAAATGCCCACTATAGTACTTTGCACATAAGGGACCAAAACCAGTATCAGGACATAGAAAAATCATGCTCTAAAACATGTCGGTTACCTGCTTAAAAATAGATATATATTATGCCAAAGAAATGTAACCAGCTTATCTTGGAAAAACACAATTGCAAACTTATCTCTGTGTTTCCATTACGGTAACTAATCAACAGTCTGTTAACATTCCGTTTGAGTTAAATACACATTTAAAAATAGTGTCATGTGACTGCACATGAGATGCAATGTTCTCAGAAACTGAAAGTAAGTAGTAAAATCCCATTCTAAGGAAACAGACCTAAAAATATCTTGCATGTCATTTAATGGACTATCTATGGTGAAAATATAAAGGTTGGTTAACTGTGCTATTAGTGCGTGGCTCTGCACTTTCTCCTGCTGGGAGGACCAGGTCCCTTTCGATGGGAAGAGCTAACTACTCTGCTCCTCAGTCCTTCTATCAACATGGTCTGCCACCTTCCTCCCCCACCTCAAATCCCCCCAATATACAACTTTAAAAAAAAAAATCAGTCTATATTAGAATACGTATAACTACAGCGAGTGGCCTCCCAAAATTGCTTTTGCTACAGAAACTGATGCCTGTGTGAACTGAACACGATGAAGACATTTATTACAATGAAATATGCATATGTTAATAGACTCTGGCGTAATGCATTCATCAAAGAATTGCTATGTTACAATCTGCTCGAACAGAGAAATAGTTTCATATAGAGTACTAGAAACTTTATGTCTAGGGGTGCTTTCGTGGCTCAGTGGTTAAGTATCCAGCTCTTGATTTCGGCTCAGGTCACGATCTCGCGGTTCATAGGTTTGAGCCCCACATTGGGCTCTGCGCTAGCAATGCAAAGTCTGCTTGGGATCCTCTCTCTCCCTCTCTCTGCGCCTACCCTGCCTGCTCGCTCTCTCTCAAAAATAAATAAGTAAACATTAAAAAAAAAAAAGAAAAGAAGCTCTATGTCTAAATTGGATTCTCCCTGTAGTTCAATAGCAATATTCTTGAAAGCAATCAATTCCCAAATGGAAAATACAATCATTTCTTAGCTAAAGACATATCATAAATAAAGCTCAAATAACATGGATAGGATTCTTATTTTAGGAAGCTCTTCCTCGAAGTCACTTTCTCTTCATTAGCACCACAACAGTAACATTGCTCAAAATAAGGTAATACTTTTACTTATTCTAACAAGCCTTTAGTCCTTGATGTACATACCAACGGTGTGGATGGGTTTCCTGTACGGCATCAGGCCAAAATTGTACTGAAAGATCCCTCTGGCATGGAAAAGAGGCAAAGCAAACCCCATGATCTTCTGTAGCTTCTCTTGCACAGTTCGAAGCCAGGAGCCTTCGGGGTTGTTAACTTGCTTAAATAGCTCATTTTCTCCAAAAGAAAACACTGGGACCAAGGAGGCGCTACAAATAACAAAAGGGAAGAGAATGAATTTTCAATGGAAAGGACTTACGTATTTTATTCTGTCCAGCTAGCTTTTGCAACATATTCCTAACAATTTTTCAGTGTCCCTCTGCCTCCCTACCTTGCTAATTTCATGAAATTTATACTTGAAATCCTTTGAGAAGGTACTTCAGCAGCCTGGCAATCTATGGAAGTTTATCCGACAGCCAATCAAGGCTCCAGGAAGCTTCTTTTCCACCTATAGTTTGGGCCATGGTTCATTTGTTCATTTGACTGGAAGTTTATACTGCGAATATGAAATTTTATACTTCTGGGTCGCCTGGGTGGCTCAGTCGGTTGAGCATCCGACTTCGGCTCAGGTCAGGATCTCATGGTTCACGAGTTTGAGTCCTGCATTGGGCTCTGTGCTGACGGCTCAGAGCCTGGAGCCTGCTTCAGATTCTGTGTCTCCTTCTCTCTCTGCCCCTCCCCCGCTCATGCTCTGTCTCCGTGTCTCAAAAATAAATAAATGGTTAAAATAAAAATTAAAAAATTTTTTTTTTAATTTTGTACTTTTTTGTTTGCTTTGCTTTGAAAGGTGAGTTTAGTTGCCGGATGCCATGGCATTGAACCACCTTCCTGGGAAGGCTGGATTCCATTCCCCATGAACATCCACATCTGCTTTGATTGTCAGGTCTCCTAAGAGGAGGTCTGTCTTTAAGGACAAGAAAAATTACTTTATTTCTTTGTGTTCATTTAATAATGTCTTAACTTCTCGGATCCAGGTACCTGAGAAGCTACTTACCCATGGGTCAGAGCAATTTTAACAAATCCTTTCCGCTGGCGGATGAACAGAGTGAATTTTCCAGGATGGGCATCCAGTGATTCTTCTGCACCCCCAAGAACAATGACTGAAATGTTTCCACCTCCCTCCTTGCTCAGCACATGGGACACACTTTTCTTAGAAACTGAGACTGGCCCTTAGTGAATAAAACAAAAAGGATAAGTATTTACTGTGTTTCTGATATTAAAAGCATTTTCATCCTAATATTCTACGGCATCAGTGACCACTTAACAATTAATTCTCTACCCTGCTTACAACTGACACATCTTGTAGTTTATAATTTTGTCATAGCCAGATCTTTGGTAATGTATCCCATTAATAAGATCTAACATTTTGGCAGGTGACAGGTTGGGTCTTTAAAATGTCACTTGTTATTGGGACGCCTGGGTGGCTCAGTAGGTTAAGCATCCAAATTTGGCTCGGGTCATGATTACGTTTGTGGGTGTGAGCCCCACATCAGGCTCTGTGCTGACAGCTCAGAGCCTGGAGCCTGCTTCGGATTCTGTGTCTCCTTCTCTCTCTGCCCTTCCCCCACTCACACTCTGTCTCACAAAAACAAATAAACATTAAACATTGTCAAAATAAAGTTAAAAATAAAATAAAAACAAAATGTCACTTGTTATTAAATCTACCACTTATTCAGGTAGGTTGCACACTGCTCAACTCTATGGACTGTATTCGTATTGCATTATAAGTAAAAGGGCCCTCTGCAGTTGTTCAGTGTTCAACCTGCACAGCTGTATTTGGTGGCCTTGATCAGTACCCTGGCGAATCCTGGCTCAGAACCAAAAATTATATCCTTTTCAAGAGGCTGCAATGGATCTTCTGAACACAGAAGGGCCTGTTTTCAGATATTCTATATGGACTTTTGTTTCCCAAACCTGCATTTATAATGTTAATGGTTTTAAAAGTTCAGACATTTAATAAATAACCAGATCTTTACATGGGTCCAAGATGCCTGGTCTGACTTTGGTTTATTTGAGACCGTGATATAATTGTTCAGTCTTTGTACCAGGCTTTCCCATGTAAAAATAACTTTAAAGATTCCTTTTCAGATTCTGAATGTACTATGTACTCTTGGAGGAAAATATCATGAACTCTTACAGGAAAAGAAAAAAGATGAAAACACAAGCCATTCATGACCTAATTTCAGAGATGATTCCTTCTTAATGTCTTATTGTTTCCTCTCATTCTTGGCTTTATCCATTGTTTTTAGTCATAAAAGAATTATGTCGGACACGTTTTATTAAGACACAACATACCTCATTTCTCAAAGGAAAATTAAACGCTTATTTTACTGTGAGTTCCTATTACTGGGTGAACATAAAATAATGCAGGACTCTGACCAACCACTTTCTTAAGAAAAGAGGCAGGAGCCTGGGTGGCTCCGTCGGTTAAGGGTCCGACTCTTGATTTCGGCTCAGATCATGATCTCATGGTTGTGAGATGGAGCCCCCTACCGGGCTCTGTGCTGAGCGTGGAGCCTGCTTGGGGTTCTCTCTCTCCCTCTGTGCCCCTCCCCCACTCATGCTTGCTCGTTCTCTCTCTCAAAATAAATAAACATTAAAAAAAGAGAGAGACTGAGAAGAGGCAGAGAGCGGTAGGTTAAAGGGTAGAGAACCTGAGCCTCAATGGGTTTGCACTTCCACTGAGTTCAAGGCATGGCCATTCTGCCCTCTGTGGCCTGAGTGGGAGCTAGAGCCATCACTTCCATTGAAAAGAGGGCCTTGTCGATTTCTAGACACCGACTCTCCTCGGTCACTTCTCAGTTTCCCTTTCCAGGCTCTCTTTATAGGCTATCTGTAAATGCTGCTATGTCTTAGGGCTCTAAGAAATACATCTTTGTATCCCTCCAAAATTTCTATGTTGAAACCCTAATGGAATGGCATTAAGAAGTAGGGCCTTTGGAAAGAAATTAGGTCATGAGAATGCAGCCCCAAGACAAGATCAGTGTTCTTATCAAAAGAGGAAAAGAGATAGGGTGCTCAATCTTTCCATCACGTGAAGACATAACAAGATGGCTGTCTACAAGCCAGGAATGGGGCTCTCACCAGACACCAGATCTGACAGCACCTAGATCTTGGACATCCAGCCTCCAGAACAGTGAACAATAAAGGTCTGTTATTTAAGCCACTCAGTCTATGATATTTTGTTATAGCAGGTTGATCTATGACAGGCTCCTTTGTTGTCTCTAATACCTTCTAATGTTATCCACATACATGGATTCAACTACCACTTACATGTGCTGAGTCCTCCCAAATGTATCTCCTGGGACATCTTCCTCCTGAGGCCCTACACCCACACTTCCAACGGCCCAATGGACACTCTACCTTGACAACTCAAAGACATCTCAAATTCTATGTTTCCAAACCCAATGCATTGTATTCTTCCTCAAGGTTCTTCTCTTTGCAACATTACCTCTCAAGGTAAATGGGACTATCATCTATTCTGTCACCCAAGTCAAAAGTATAGGCTCCTCCCAAATATATCCCCCCTTCTTGGCAACCATGTTGACTCATCACTCATTCCTTCATTCAAAACACATATTGAGCACCTGCTACAAGTTAGACACTGCGCTAGACGCTGATGATATGATGACGTATACAGTTGATGGCTCCCTTCATAAGCCTGAATCAATCAATAAGTCTTGGTGAATCTATCAGCTACTTTTCATATTGACCTCCTCCGTGTAGGACATAAGACTGTTGTGATCTGATCTATGCTACTTGCCCAGCCTTAATGGATACACAGGAAGGAACATGAGTCTTGAAATACAGACTGTGTCCTGGCTGACATCTGATGAGTATAGATTCATGAAAATGGACCAAGAGGAATGGTTTGGAGGGGAGACTTACAGGGACTTACAGCAACAGAAATCTATTGTGTGCGACCAAAACAGGCACTGGTCAGCAAAGGCCCTCTGAAACCCCACTGGTTCTTTATTACCAGGGGTTCAGTACACATGTCTGTCTGTCTTTCATATGGAGAGGGATAGCTACGAAGGCAGGCACAGAGGAGAAGGGGCTGTCCTAGGAAGCCGCTTCTAGGAAAAATTAAGAACTCTCTAAACTTTAAGACAAGGACACCCTAAAGGTTCGAGTTTGGATATTTTTATTTAGCTTTTAGGATATCTCAGGTTAGAGCCAAAAGGAAATCGTCTCATAATGTCATAAGCCTGATAGAACAGACAAGTTTAATCTCAAATGCCAGCTTTAGTAATGGCAGTGACAGTGAGGGCACTACATGGAGAAAGATGCTAAGGTTGGTTATATGTATCTGATACGGCCATAGAGAGGGGTGTATTGACATCTCTTGTGCCACGAACTGTCACACCTGCTCTCAGTATCACTGCTCAAAACAAACGCACTTGTGGCTTGGAACCAGCAACCGTGCCCTGTAAATGTATTTCTGTGCTTTTTTTGCAATTTAAAAAATTTTCCTTTAATTTTTTTTTCCTTTTATGAAACAAACCCGATCAGTATCTCAAAAACAGGGAAGAGATGGGATATACATATCTATGTATTTTTCTGCCTCTATGGTAGTATGGAGGTTTGGTGCGCCCTCTAGAGGCCAGATACAGCGGCGGCCTAGACCGAACAGAGAGCCCAGGGCTATAGGGGTGAAGGTCCGTACACAGAACCCGAAAACCCAAGCCAGGGATCCTGATTCTCTGGTGCTTAGTGACTTCCTATCAGGTATATAGCAACAACAGAGACTTGAGAAATTAATAGGAAGTAATGAAAACCTGGAAGGCTCTAGAAAATTCTATCTCTGAATATGCCATTTATTGATCCTAAAACTATAAATTCTCAAAAACAGACTAGCCCCTTTTCTTTACACCTAAGACATGCAAGACAATAAAGTCAACCTACACAATGACCGTAAACATGAAGTGCTTTGTACGTTACTGCAGTTCATGCCAAGCCAATAAGCTGGTCCAGTTAGAAGCCCAAATTGAACCCCTCAAATTAAAAGTGAGAGCTGTTAACGCAAGCTTAGCCTCTGGGCATGTTAATATAGTGTCTCCAGCATTCCAGCTAAAGTTTATTCTTGGAATTGGTAGAATTATGGTTTCATTAATCAAAAGTCTTCCCCTAGTTCAGAGTAGCAGAGTAGAATGAACTCATTTCTGAGCCAAGTTATATTTAATCTGGGAAGAAAAGGGCAGATTAAGTACGCGTAGTTTACATACTGCCATTACTTCAAGACATATTGGAGCACATTTTCCATCTCTAATGTTTATAAAAACATGCAAAGTGCCTCTCCAAAGGCGCCGTCTATCACTTGTTTGACCCCAGATTCTTTTTCATATCTCGATGCACAAAATGCACTCATCAATTTGTTCTTTCATTGAATTAATGTCTATTGAACTTTCCTATATTCCAGGCACTAGGCTAGACACTAGCTGTGTTTAAAGAAAAAAAAAAAAAAAAGACACATTCTGTGTCTTCCTGGAATTTCCAGTCCAGCAGGGGAGGCAAGAATCACCCAAGCAGCATGTGAAGAGTCAGAAAGGGAGAAAGACCCAGGGCTTTACTACGAAACTGTAAACTTGTGTTTGGGAAGGAGCATTCGGTGTGGTCCTGCCACTTTAGAACATGGTAGAAATGGTGATCTGCCTTCACTTACCGCTACTCATCAGATATTCTCGAAAGAGAGGACACCGGAACCAAAATGGGAGCACATGAAGATACGCGGTGAAGCCGGGAAACAGCTGTTCAAAGTCCGAATGATTCGTACAAAAATTTCCAAAGGCTCCAGCAACAAGCACTCCGTGGGGGTGAAACCCAAATATGTAGTTGTGACTTGGATCCAAATCCCAAGTTTTGATGAGCTACAGTACGTATTGAGATTAAAAAAAAAAAAGTTCCCTGATTAGTTTCCAATAAGAAACCAAAAAACCCTCACGATTAGTTCCTATGTCAAAAGGAAATGGGAGAACATGACTCATGTCGTTCTCTGGGTCAGAGATGTTTCTGAATTTTTAAACTATTTCCTAAGCCCAAGGCCCCTTGCACAGCCGTCTAGATCCTGTTCAGTGATTTGGGCGGGTGTGCCGGCTTTCTCCCTCTGAAAAGGGAGAAGCTTCAACTATTTGTGATGAAAACAAATTTTCATTCTTCTCCCCGCTCAAAATAATACTACATAGAACAATTCTACTCACATGAATTGGAAAATAGTCCTTAAAATACCTCCAAACGGTCCAGCCTCTGACCCAGTTGGATCTTCTGCCCCCCCGTTCTGGGGTACGCCAGTCAAAGTAAAGCCATGTCATGTAAGGGACATAGAGGAACCAATAGTTGTGTATGACCAGTATCACAATGATCCCAAGGCACACCTGGGCTGTAAGAAAGGGAAAGACCTCAGGAGTCAGGGTCAGTTAGTATCCACTCACTGTACGGTATAACCATTGGCCCATGGCAGGGGGATTTAATGCACACAGAGTGTGTTAAACTGAGCCTCATTTTGGGGTGCCTAGGTGGTTCAGTCGGTTGAGCATCGAACTCTTGGTTTTGGCTCAGGTCATGATCCCAGAGTCTTGGGATCAAGCCCTACATCAGGCTCTGCACTGATTCTCTCTCCTTCTGCCCCATTCCCCTGCTCACAAACACACGCTCTCTAAAAAGACAAAAACAAAAAACAAAAAAACTGAGCCTCACTTCAAGTGAGGTAATATAACAAGACAGCAAATGATAGAGTATTATTTAACATTTATTGGATGTTTACTACATGCCAAGTATTGTACTATGTACTCTGCCAAAATATTTTCATTTAATCCTTATACAGCTACCGTATCAATGAAACAGCTAAAATATGTTTAATGTCCTTTTAGTAGAAAACAGAGGTATAGACAGGTTAAATTAATTGCCCAGTCCCACAGAATGGAAGTGATTGATCTAAATTCACAGTCCAATCTTAGGGCTCCTCAGTCAGTTAAGCGCCTGACTTCGGCTCAGGTCATGATATCATGGTCCATGAGTTCGAGCCCCGCGTTGGGCTCTGTGCTGACAGCTCAGAGCCTGGACCCCGCTTCAGATTCTGTGTCTCCCTCTCTCTGCCTCTCCCCGCTCAAAGTCTCTCGCTCCCTCTCTCAAAAAATAAACAAGCATTAAATAAAAAAATTCACAGTCCACTCTCAAAGTCCATGGTCTACACCACCTCCCTGACATTATATATGGAGGAATCATTGCTGAAAGGATGCAGAGGAGTTCCTGATACAGGTATTTACCCTGCTGAGCAGCCATTATTTATGTGCCCACAGAGAACATTCCAGCGACAAACTCTGTGTTCAGAGACTGTATTAACAGAGACAGACACAGCAGAGGAGGACCTCTTGACATCTCAGTTTACCTACCACTGCTTGCAACATTTCCCGATGACAAGGCAAAACCCAAATGGTTTACACACCTCATGACACAGCTTCACAATATGTGAAGCAAGAACGGACAAAACTCGACCTAGGTAGTAGTGACAAGAATGTTTGCCTGAGGGGCGCCTGGGTGGCTTAGTCGGTTAAGCGTCCGACTTTCGCTTAGGTCATGATCTCGCGGTTCGTGGGTTCGAGCCCTGGGTCGGGCTCTGTGCTGACTGCCAGCTCAGAGCCTGGAGCCTGTTTCAGTCTGTGACTCCTTCTCTCTCTGACCCTCCCCTGCTCACGCTGTCTCTCTCTCTCTCCTAGAAATAAATAAAAATATTGAAAAAAAAAAAAAGAATATTTGCCTGAAAGTAACACATTAAACTAAGACAGTTTCTTTTCATGTGTGTGCTATCATACTAAAAATATTTATAGGGAGAGAACTAGATTAATGAGAAAGGGAGAGGAGCATCAAGTCATAAAGCTTGACACAATAAATGCCAGCAACTGCTATTACTTTAAGAGGTGCCCTTGCCTCCCTCGCTTCTGCCATGTGCTATCCTGTTTGTCATAGAGCTGACTTCAGTCACCCAAACTCTCGAATCCTCTCCATCAGCTTTGTTACAGTTTTGTTCCCAAACGATCCATCATCAGATCTGATTAATAGTACCTTGACCTATGATAGTTTTATAGACACAATCTTTTTAAAATTTTGTTTAATGTTTTATTTATTTCTGACAGAGAGAGGGAGACAGTGTGAGCAGGGGAGGGTCAGAGAGAGAGGGAGTCACAGACCGAAACAGGCTCCAGGCTCTGAGCTGGCAGTCAGCACAGAGCCCGACGCGGGGCTCGAACCCACGAACCATGAGATCATGACCTGAGCCTAAGTCGGATGCTTAACTAACTGAGCCACCCAGGCACCTCAATATCATTTTTTTTTTTTTTTTTTGCTAAAAACAGAATATTTGTATTTCTGGAGATATATAAATTCATTCATATCCCAGCATAGATTTAAGCTAAAAACAGAATAGATTCCAGGAAGAGGACCGACCTGCTTTCTCCAGGGTAAAGTCTGTTTACAAAAAGGTGCATGAAAGGTTAAGGAAGTGTGTGTCCTCCAACCCTCTGTGGGGTGTTCTGTCGCATTTTGGAACAGCTGGAGAATTTTCCATGACGCCAGAGGCACAGCCTAAGGGTGTCCTCTGCTCTCCTTCCTCCCAGGATCATTTCATCTTGCTTCACCTGCTTGCCTCTACCCAGGTCTGAGTGCTGACAATTTACCACTGTTGGTTAATCTTCTCTTTACTAAAATGTGCAAAAAATGTACAAGAAAACTTAGGTAGCTCTCATTACTCTGTGCTCTAAGCTAGATCGGGTGAGCTAAGGTGGAGCAGGGAAGGGAGAGAACATTTAAGATGGAGCAGGGAAGGGGTGACCATCTCCCACAGGCAAGGTCATTTTCTCCTCCTCACAACCCTCAAGGTACATATTACTGTACCCATTTTGCAGCGGTGGAAACTGAGGCTCAGGGATTTTGAGGGTCCAAAGGATTTGAACCTGGATCTGCTTAATTCTTTAAAAAAAAATTGTTTTAATGTTTATTTTTGAGAGACAGAGATAGAATGTGAGCAGGGGAGGGGCAGAGAGAGAGGGAGACACAGAATCCAAACCTCCAGGCTCTGAGCTGTCAGTATGGAGCCCGACACAGGGCTCGAACTCACAGAGTGCAAGACCATGACCTGAGCTGAAGCTGGACGCTCAACCGACTGAGCCACCCAGACGCCCCTGGATCTGCCTAATTCTTAAACCCACACACTTTTCTTTTCTTTTAATAAAACCAAATGATTCTTAGCTAATGGCAACGGCACCATAACTTGCCAAGTCCTTATTAAAAACGCATAAGCAGGCTTGTAAACATAAAATATCAGACAAATGGGAGGTTCCATTTTCCTTAGTATGATGATGGAGAAACTGAGACCAAAAGCATACTAACTTACTTTGAACCAGAGAGGGAGTCAAGAGCAGATCTAGAACTAAAGTCCCCCAGCTACTAATTCAGTGTTTCACTAACCCAACCACATACGCACTAATCGAAAACATACTGTGTATCTCTTTGACAGCCACTAGATGTTCTGCATGTAGGGTGGTTAAGACCTGGATTTGGAATCTGACTGCTTATGTTGGAATCTGCAACCGACTCGATGCGGAACATGAGGCGAAGTTCTCTTACTTAAGAGCCTTAATTCCTTTGCCTGTGAGATGGGCTAATAATAGCACTTGCCTCCACCAACTGTGGGGGAAACGCAGCAGAGGTGCCACCGGGCCTTGCACGAATCAAGCACTTGACAATGGCAGCCATCATTATGGTAACTGTGTTTATTATTTCACATTTGGAGAACGCAAGAAGTAAAAGCAGAGAAAATATTGCCCATATTCCTGTCACTCCACAAAAAGTACTGTTAAAATTTTTCCTTGTGGTCTTTTGTGTTCCTATGAACAGGTTCTATCTCCTAAATGTGGCTGATCACATTTTTAAAATTTCTGTATTTTATCTCTTATGATTCTCCTATGTTAGCTGTTTTATAACATCAAGTTGGTCTTAAAACCTCCATAAATATTTTTGAGAACTGATTAATATTCCAGTGAATGTCAATACCACGTCAACCATTCTTCCTTTTTGAACATGTGGGCTTTAAACAAATTTTCTCTATAAACATAATCTTGCATAACATTCCCCCACATTTTAATTGACTTCCATAGGACAGTTAGTAAAACACTGCATCACTGAGCAAGAAAGGCAATGTCACGTGATACACTTTGATACCTTACTGTCCAAAGGAGTTGTCCTAATTTAAACCCCCCACTCCACACATGGCATACATTCTTTAACATTTCATATCATAAACAGCACCAAAATAGCTTTTTAAATCCCATGATCCTAAATGGGATCAAAAGAAGAAAACACTAAAAAACTAGGTGACCGGATCACCTCTATTTTCTATTTTTATCTCATTATGCATTCCGAGGTAAATGAGTCTTCTGAATTGGAGGTCAAAGAGAAAAGATACAAAGATCTACTCGGACACATGGTGCAGTTCTCCAAACTAGGATGATACCTCTTAAAACTGTCTTGATCCACATTCCAAATTGCAAGGGAAGCCTGAACTTCAGTTGCTTTGACTAGGGTGCATGTTGGATGAAAAACCACAAGCCAGCCTCTGTCATTCAAACTCTAAACTGATTTCATTCCCATAGATTCTACTTTCTCTGCATCATTAAGAAGCTGCCTCCCCTTCACTTTTTCTTTTATTGAGGTGAAATTCACATTATTATAAGTCAACCATTTTAAAGAAATCCATCCAGTGGCACTTAGCACATTCACGATGTTATGCAACTACCACTTCCATCTAATTGCAAAATACTTAGATCACCCGAAAATAAAACCCTGAACCCAGTAGGCAGTTATGCACCATTTCCTTCTCCTCTGTCCCTGGCAACCACCACTCTGCATTCTATTTCTATGGATTTACCTACTCCAGATGTTTCATAAAAATGGAAGGGTCCAATATGTAACCGTCTGTAGGTTTTCAGTTAACATCAAGTTTTTGAGGTTCGTCCACCTTGAAGAATGTATCAGGACTTCATCCCTTTTTAGGACTAAACAATATTCCCATATATAGGGCCATATCATTTGTTTATCCATTCATCTGTTCAACATTCATCATTCAATGGCTAAAATTAACAACTCAGACAACAACAGATGTTGGCGAGGTTGCGGAGAAAGAGGAACTCTTTTGCACTGCTGGTGGGAATGCAAACTGGTGCAGCCACTCTGGAAAACAGGATGGAGGTTCCTCAAAAAATTAAAAATAGAACTACCCTACGACCCAGCAATTGCACTACTAGGCATTTACCCAAGGGATACAGGTGTGCTGTTTCAAAGGGGCACATGCACCCCAATGTTTATAGCAGTGATATTAACAATAGC